TTTGAAATACTCACTTGTTTACATACCATTCACAACTGGTGGAGTCCATATACTGCATCATATTGTTTACATTTGAAATACTCACTTGTTTACATACCATTCACAACTGGTGGAGTCCATATACTACATCATATTGTTTACATTTGAAATACTCACTTGTTTACATACCATTCACAACTGGTGGAGTCCATATACTACATCATATTGTTTACATTTGAAATACTCACTTGTTTACATACCATTCACAACTGGTGGAGTCCATATACTGCATCATATTGTTTACATTTCAAATACTCACGTTTACATACCATTCACAACCGGTGGAGTCCATATACTACATCATATTGTTTACATTTCAAATACTCACGTTTACATACCATTCACAACTGGTGGAGTCCATATACTGCATCATATTGTTTATATTTTTTTGTGTGACTTGGATATTATTCAGTATCGTATAAACAACAAAGTCAGTGTTCTACAAGTAGTTTAGAAAAATATGTTTAAAAATCCTGTCCAAACAAACTTCACTGACAATTATAGGGAAAATGTAGATTAAAAGTTGACTTACAGGATGGTGAATTCGGGGATGTTCTTGATGTTTGTTTTTCATTTCTTGATGTTTTTTTTCATGATTCCTTTTCTCTTCTTCTTTCAAATTTTGCAGTGATTCTCGGTACCGATGTTCTTTTTCCATTTCATAACGTTTGAATTCTTCTCGTCTCTTACGATCCAGCTCTTCCAAGTCATTTGTAGCCTAAAAAAAGAAAGAAAAAATATATTAATATGTATAACAGTTTTGGGTATAGTATCAATGAAAGTTGAACTTTAATATCCAGGTTACAAAGGCACCAAAACTTCACCTTGCTTTTAATACTTTAATTCTTTGAGTGAGTAATCAAATTTTGGGAAAGTTCTTGAAAAGTGTCAATTATTCATTAAAAGTGAAATGTAGAATTTGACCTTTTTTTTAGTACTTTTTCAATAGTTGTACTTCTGCTCGGTGATGTATGCACACGTGGCACTAAGGCAGGAAATTCTAGGACCAAATGGCTATAAATGTCAAGTCAGATAAATCCAATTATAGCATTAAAATGGTTAATAAAATACTGCCATATATGACTGTTTTTTATTAATCTTAAATCCTTAAGTTAATAATTCATGTAATTTGATATATTTTTTACATAAAAATGAAATGAAAATAGCATTTAACAAAATATATGTACGCAGCTTTGTCACAGTGTATTTTATACACATACCATTCAAAACAGTAAATGGTAATCCATACTAATGTAGTGTATAATATGATGTCAACAAAAAATTCATTATATGAAATCAACTTTAACTTAATCAATTATAAAACAGAAATAGCAGCCTAAAAAATATCACAATCTTAGCAGAAAAACAGGAATGATTTCTGTAAGTCAACATTCTTGCAATTAGCAATCCTGAAATCAGCATAGTGAAGAGTAGAAAATTCCAGTTGGCAGTATATTCATAATCAAATTTCCCTGTGCTTGCTTGTCAAGAGTGTTGTATCAAGACACTATATGCAATTCTTTTTTTCTTCAGATTTTGTTTACTCTGCGAGTATTATTTAGCTATTAAACAAACTTGCAATTAGTACTTGTTGTGGTTAGTTGTTGTTTTTTTTCTAGCTTTCTCCTTTACTTTATGAGTATCATTTAAGTACTTGCCTCTGACTTTTTCAATTTTTTTTGTTGGGAGAGTGTTTTCTGACAAGGAACTCTTTTTTTTTCCCCCCATGCTATTTTGGACACATATTCTTGGCTAGATGGCTTTTGTTTTAGCATAATTTTCTGATGCAGCTAATATGGCTGTCCCAATTTATGAATAGTCTAACCATCAATATGATTTTCCGATATTGTTTTTCAGTGTTACAAAAATGTTTGAGTACAGCTGCACAAGTACAAATGCTTAGGTGACTATAATCTTCATGGGGTTCTTTCATTTCACCCACGTGACAAATTTACTGGATTGTCTCGAAATGTTGAAAAACAAATTATAATTTAAAAAGTATGATCATAAATGTCATAATCTATTCTTAAAAATCAGAATGAGTCAGTTAAAATAGAAATGGCTGGCACCTATGTAAGTGTGTTAATATTATATTACTGGTTTAATGAAGCTAGTGTCACTTCAGGTATATTTGGGGGGGGGTAAATTAAGAACTGTTAACATAAATTTTAGTTATCTTTCAAATGTAGAAAATCTATTACTAAGTTTTAAAAAAAATCGCATCCTATATATTTTAATTGTCTATTATTCAAAGAGGCTTCAGAATATTAAAATATTTTCTCATAAAAACGTTATTCTTTTTCCCCCATACAGGTCTCAAAGCAATGAGAAAACAGAACGGTTTTATTAAATTACTCAATAATTGTTCATTTCATTCACAAAAATGTTTACTTATTTAAAGTGGCTGTTGGACCAAATATGTAATATTCATTTCATTTCACAGGTAACATTAAACTGTCAGTTTCCTTAACATAAATGTCATGACGCATTGTATAGTTGAGTATGTATACAACAAGTTAAACTAGGCAATAATATAAAGGATATTTCATCAGCAAAAACTGTGAATACATCTTCTTTCCTTAAGGAAATCTTTGACATAAATCACTATTACCTCATTTGCATAGATAAATTCCTTCAATGATTCTCGAGATATTTTTTGCAATGAGTTAGTCTATAGTTAGGCTATCTACAAGAACAAAGAAATTTAAATTCAGAACCGTTTTTTGCAAGAATTGGTCAGTAATTTCTTTAAATTGTTGTTAAATATATTTCAAATTAGCATCCTTACTTGAACACTGGGTATTACTAAAAGAAAGAATATTTTCTCCTTTATTAACGTTTCTGGGATCTTTAAACCTTTCCTTCACGATCTTTAAACCTTTCCTTCACGATCTTTAAACCTTTCCTTCACGATCTTTAAACCTTTCCTTCACAATCTTTAAACCTTTCCTTCACGATCTTAAAACTTTTCCTTCACGATCTTAAAACCTTTCCTTCACGATCTTAAAACTTTCCTTCACGATCTTAAAACTTTTCCTTCACGATCTTAAAACCTTTCCTTCACGATCTTAAATCCTTTCCTTCATGATCTTTAAACCTTTCTTTCATGATCTTAAAACTTCTATTAAACCCATAAGGTAGGATCTTCTAGTTTTTGATTTCTTATTTATATTTTTCTTCTTATCTTCTGAGAACAGTCACCTTCCCACAGTTGTCTACAGGCAGAAAGGATGATGTCAGATGCTGTGGGCTTGAACATCCACATCTTGCTCTCATCACATTTTTTCTTATTTTACTCTTTTATTCTTCTTCTTTACATACGAGTCTTTGCAAATGGAGGTTAAGACTGATAGACTATGTATTCCCATTGATACACGAATCTCATTTCCACTGTTACCTCCAAAATTCAGGACACATCTTATACTCCACATTACAGGCTATGCCCTGGTGACTTTGTTTTGTTTTTGCAGCATTTTGGTTAGGGCTTGTTTTGTATTATAAATGTTATATATGGCATCAACTTTATTTGAAATGTAGAGATGCCAACCTTAACTGATATAGAATAGAAATACCAGCCTAAAAAATATCAGCATCTGAGCAGAAAAACTGGAATGATTTCTCCAAGTCATATTCTTGCAATTAGCAATACTGAAATCCACAAATCAAAAAGAGCAAAAAATGGCAGTTGGCAGTTTATTCAGACTTAAATGTTTATAACATTACATTTACTTACTGTCTGAATCAGCCTCTTTAAGTCCTCAACTTCAAATGTACGAGTATTTAAAGGATCAATATGAACAGGAACTTTGCTATTTTTCCTATTGAAACCTGTAGAAAAGACAAATTGTACTAAAGAACTGATACTTAAAAAAAACAGTTAAGCAACAAAAATAAAAGTAAGTCTTATGAAAGCAAAACTGTGACTGTATTCTGTTCTCAAATGTTCAAATATTTTTCTTAAATATCGGGTTTACCTAATTAAAACATTTCTAAACTACATCAACATTAATATCAATGTAACCATCACAAACTGAAGAATTACATGATACAGAAAAAGGTTTGTCCACTTTGTAAATTCTACATCTTTATTACTTTATAAAAATCTACATCATATGCAAAGAATGTACGATTGTAATGTTTGTTTTAAATATTAAGTTAAGCCTTCTTTACTTAAAACTATTTACTTTTCTTGATTTTGTCCCATGACATTTTAACCTTTCAATAATTCAAGGGAGTAAAAAAATAAGTTTTTAAGATTCTTGTAAACTAAACTTTTATATTAAGCTCAGATAAACAATGTTATTCACTGTTTTCAAATGTAAATTTTTCTCATCACTGACCTTGGCTAAAACATTGAAATTTATAGGGTATATTATGCCTTGACTAGTGACGATATTCCATCACAACTGATTTACAAAATGCTAATGAATTTCAAGATTTCATTTTAGGTATTCCTAATTACTAGTTAAAAACAAATTCAACCTTGTTGAAGTATTTCAAGAAAAAGTACAGAAAATGTGATAGAGAACTTTAGATGCATTAAGTGGCAGAGTATAACTGTAATTTCACCTCAAAATACAATCTATTATACATTCATCATTTGAAATACACCTCAAAATACAATCTATTCTTTCCCATCTATATACAATTAAAAAAAGTTCTCAAATATTAAGAAAAATACACTCTGATAAGATAACTCTGGATTAAAGTTTTAACTCTGTCCTTGAAATGCCAAAGTTTCCCCAACAGCTCTATGAAACAGTAATATATAGTGTCCTTGTTTAACTTTGCTACACCTTTACATCTAAAAAGATGTTTGTTACAGATTCTTCTGTTTTGTAAACAATCAGGTAACACAGTTTTTTTATCTCTAAGTTTGATGAAAGCTTACATTCATGTCAATAGTCTACTCTAACACACTACAAAAAACAACAACAACAATATTTTGGATGCCTAGCCCTCCAGGTGCAAACCCACCTATATTTTCAAAGTTTAAAATGTCAATTATGCTAGCCAAGTGAATGTCCCTTGTCAATGTGCCATCTAGGAAACTGACAGCATGCATGCTAATGGTACTGAAGTTTTCATATTGCTTGTATAGTCCTCAAGAAGTATACATCACAAAATGCTTACACTTGATTGGGAAATAAGTATATGAAGTACAATTAATCATATTTTCACAGTTGGACAAACATGGGTACCTTTTCTCATGAGTTGGCTGAAAATTAGATTTACTGAATATTAAAAACATTATGCCTAACTTTTATGGATGATTTTTACAATATTTTAGACATTTTTAGTTTACTAATTACATTTTATAAATAGATTAGCATTATTATTTGGTATTTTAAACCTAAACTGCCAGGTCACCAAGACCCTAGGGTTCAGATGTAGCTGTACCTAATTTTAAACTACTAACCAAAAGGAGGGTGGTGTCAGCAAAAGTTACTGTTGCAAGGCTCCTGGAACCAAATAACAGGATTGATTGTAAAATTTAAAATGCATCTGAAAGTGCAAAGTGTGTTCAATGGTATTGCAGCTTAATCTTTGGACCTTCTGATCCATAGTCCAGTATGCTAACCATTAGGCCATACTTTATAACTAATTTAAATTAACTAAACTGAGTTTTGTGAAGTGTTTTGACAAAAACAACAAACTGAGAAATTAGAGTAACTAGTTTCTATTATATTGTTTTCATCCTTGGACTGGTTTAAATTTTAATTCATTCTGTTACCATTATTTCAACTCTGTGGTTTAGTTGTAATTAAACGCAAAGCTATGAAATGAGTTACCTGTGTTCTGTTTTTACCATCGTAAACCTAGACTTACCACTGAGCCACTAGGGGTCTCAACTTTATGCAGAAATTTTTAAAGCATGAACTTTAGTAATCAACTTATGCCTAAATGTATGTACCTTGATTTTTAATATCTCTAGCATGCGTAACTCAACACAGCTCTTTTCTTTTTTTATGTTATCCTAGTTGTAATTGACAGTTAATTTCCAGCTAATATATATAATTAATTACATGGCTTCTATTTATATTATGTATATAGTTAATTAAAGAATGATTTTGTAATGCATGAACTTTTTTACAATTTCAATCCCTATGTTGAGATGTACTATATTCAGGAGTTAACAAAATTTTCTAAAATGTTTCCAAATATTTTATTGGAGACACAGACAGACAGACTCAGTTAAAAAAAGCATGAAATTTGGAAAAATAGTTCAAATTCATTTTATATTTTGCTGAGGAAGAAAAATACAAACAAACCAACTGCAGCACAAATTTGCTTGTACACGTTCAGCAAACTGAACGGGTATAAACATAAAATATCAAGTAATTAATAGTGCTGAAAGTGTAGAAACTTAATGACACTCAGTACTTGTAAGTAGAATTTCTAAAAAACAAACTTTCAAGTTAACCAAGCTGTCAGAAATCAACATACATTACTAGCTAAAATTCTGAAAAAGTAACTTCACTGTATCCAATGTAGTGAGATGCAAACAGACATACATCACTTGTGAATCTGAAGTATATACTCTGGAGGGGCTGCAATACCATACTGTGCATCATCCCAAGAACGCTGGGCACCTTTTCTCTCATTGAGCTAGTTAGAACTAGAATCTAGACAACTGATCATCAGTTTTATAGGATGATGAGTACTGCTTCATCCAGTTTCAAGTGATAGATAAATATGGGTCTGGGGGAAAGTAGTTGAACAACTCTGGTAGGGGTGTAATGATGAGAGCTGCAATCTTGGATTGGGACTCAACTATGAAATATTTGCACATACAAGTGCCCATGGATATAAATAGATCATAAATGAACATGATCGAGAGACTATGGTAGTTTTTCTTTTAATTGACAAATCATGCGTTTTTCCTGCAACACAATGTTCATTACCAAGAGGCATGTATGACTCAAGTTTAGTTTCAAATGAACAATGTTTTAGAACAGACTACCCTCCAAGATTAGTTTCAAATTCACAATTGTTTTTAGAGCAGTCTGCCCAGAAACAAAATCTTAAAATCTCTGGGATTATTTGGTGGGGTTTATTAATGAGATAAGGCTATAAACATACTAACTGCTCTAGACATCTGTCAAGAACTTGGCTGATAACAACAGCTGCTAAGGCCAAAAGTCATGCTTCATTGTGTTCGAACAGTGGTTATTAGGAATGTCTCTGAACAACTGATCTACCTGGAAATTAACAAACTATCACGAATAAGCTAAGTTTTCTTACATTGTACCGAGAAATCACAAGCTCCAGTCGAAACTTTTGTATCCTAAATGTGCAGACTTAATTCATTCTTCAGTGTTTCTAACTTGTGAAATGTTTATTACAGAGAAAATACACACCTAAATATAAATATGGCCCTGCAACATTTTGACAGTCTACTTAGGTCATCATCAGGCAAGAGAAAATAATGATAATTTGACACATTAGAGAATACAAGATTAAAATAATGTTCCAATTGTGTGAAGTAAGTACAACAATAAAATCAACCAACAGTTTAACTTTCTACATAGTTCATCTCCATTTGTATCATTTTTAACACACAAATTTTCTTCATACACCGTGTTTTATAAAGTCCAGTTCCTGGAATACTTAAATTTTTTAAGAAAACATAAAATCTTCCCGAGATTGAGAGAGAGAGAAATTTGGTTAAGTTAGAAAAATTTTCCAATTTTCTTAAGAGGCATAGAGACATAAATTTGCCCAATTGTAATACCTAGTATTCAAATTTTTTTAAAAGGCATAGAGACATAAATTTGCCCAATTGTAATACCTAGTATTCAAATTTTTTAAGAAGCATAGAGACATAAATTTGCCCAATTGTAATACCTAGTATTCAAATTTTTTTAAGAAGCATAGAGACATAAATTTGCCCAATTGTAATACCTAGTATTCAAATTTTTTTAAGAAGCATAGAGACATAAATTTGCCCAATTGTAATACCTAGTATTCAAATGTTTTTTAAATGAAAAAGTGACGTAGTATATTATTATACAGTTGGATGCACATATGTAACATTTCATTTGTACTCTGAAAACATAAAATCAGATCAAAACTTTGTATTATAAGGTAATAATTTTGTTGATCTTTGCACTTTGATGTCAAATAGTAAATTGCTTTCCTGTTATATTATATAATTGATCCTATGAATACAAAAGGGCCAAACAATATAGCTCACTTCTTCATAAACAGCACAAAATGGCAATAATTTCACACTACCATGCATACACAAATATGAAGTGACACAGATCCAACACATGTATAGTTACTGACAACCATCTGACATCTCAATTTTATCTTAAAAAGAAAGTTTATTGCACATATCATCATCAGTAACTTCACCTTTTCCTCCAGAAGGACGTGACTGTGTGTGCCACTTTCGACCATTTGGGGGTGCAGGAAGTAAGTGACCATCTTCGTCTCTGTAAAGCCCTAATTCGTTCTGCTCAACTTCTTCCATTGTTAATCTCCTTAACCTCTCCACTTCCATTCTCTTCAACTCATCCAACTTGCTTCGTACACTATGTTTTACAAATTCCAGCTCTCTGGCTACTTCACCTTTCTATATAAAAAAACAAAACTGATCAAAATCTTCTCATTAAAGGAGAGGAAGTTACGTGTCATATAAATGCTATTCCTCAATTAAATATGTGAAAATATTATCTAACTAATAAAAATAATGTTGAATATCACACAAAATTACTCATTGGCTGCCTTTGCTAGTTGTCCCTAATCTTAAACAGACAAATTAAATGGAAGGAAGCTAGTCAACATCACCAACTGCCAACTCTTGGGATACTCTTTTACAAACAAATAGTGGAATTGACTGCCACATTATAATGCCCACACAGCTGAAAGAGCAGACATGTTCAGTGACAGGATTCAATCCCATGAACCACAGATAGCAAGCTGAACTACCAAACCATGCCAGGTTAATAAAGAAAAAACAAATGCCAGAACTAAATTTTACCACAAAGTCAGTAATTAATCATTTAGTTAAGTAAAAATAAATCAAAAGTGGTAATGTATTTTTTCCAAGTATATACAAATACAGAAAATAAAAAATCAATTTATTTAACTTACTTACAACACCTATCTAGTTAGAGAGGATGCATGACTGGAAATTTGCAACTATCAACATTTCTTTACAAGCCAAACATCTTCAAGACAAATAAAATTAAAATAATTGAATAGAGTTGTTTAAACATTTGTTTAACAACAAATTAAAATAATTTTTAGCCTACAAACAACCTTTTGTTCCACTGTGATTTTTGAGCTTTATTTCATAGTGGTAAATAAAAGCACTATTAGGTTTAAAATCTCCCATTTTTTTTAGAATTCATATAAACAAAATATATTTATTCTTCTTGCATTGTAAAATAAAAAATGCCTTATAACATTTACTGTAAATTTCAGCCACTCAACACACTAAA